TGGGGGCGCTGTTGCCCCCCATCCTATAAAGGCACTTATGGGGTGGGGGGGGGGGGACACCCCCTCAGCCCCCCCTCCCCCCCTTGGGTCCCATAGGGGGGCAGCTCCGTTCCCCCCTTTGTGGATGGGGGGGGAGCATTTGGCACTTGGGTGAGGGGTGGGGAAGTGATGTCCGCTCCTGGTATAGGGAATGGGGGATGGGAATGGGGGATGGGGGATGGGAATGGGAATGGGAATGGGGGAATGGGGGATGGGAATGGGAATGGGGATGGGAATGGGGGATGGGAATGGGGAATGGGGGATGGGAATGGGAATGGGGAATGGGGAACATGGAATGGGAAATGCAAAACAGGGAATGGGGGATCGGGAATGGGGGATGGGAATGGGGGATGGGGAATTGGGGATGGGAATGGGGAATGGGGGATGGGGAACATGGAATGGGAAATGCAAAACAGGGAATGGGGGATCAGGAATGGGGGATGGGAATGGGAATGGGGAATGGGGAATTGGGGATGGGGAACATGGAATGGGAAATGCAAAACAGGGAACGGGGGATGGGGAATGGAAAACAGGGAATGGGGAATGGGGGATGGGGAATGGGGAATGGAAAACAGGGAATGGGGAATGGGGGATGGGAAACAGGGAAGGGTGAATGGGGAATAGGGAATTGAAAACAGGGAATATAGAATGGAAAATAGGAAATACAGGATGGGCAATAGGGAATGGGGAATGGAGAGTAGGGAATGGAGAATAAGGAATAGGGAATGGGGAATGGAGAATAGGGAATAGAGAACGCTAACAGGGAACAGAGAATATGGAAGGAGCATTAAGGAATAAGGAACAGGGAAGAGTGAACAGGGAATGGAGAACAGGGAATGGGGAATGGGGAATTGAAAACAGAGAATATAGAATGGAAAATAGGAAATACAGGATGGGCAATAGGGAATGGGGAATGGAGAATAGGGAATAGAGAACGCTAACAGGCAACAGAGAATATGGAAGGAGCATTAAGGAATAAGGAACAGGGAAGAGTGAACAGGGAATGGAGAACAGGGAACAGAGAATAGGGAATAGAGAACAGGGAATGGGGAATGGGGAAAAGGGAATAGAGAACAGGGAATGGGGAATGGGGAAAAGGGAATGGGGAATGGAGAAAAGGGAATAGGGAATGGGAACAGGGAATGGGGAAAAGGGAATGTGGGATGGAGAATAGGGAATAGGGAATGGGAATAGGGAATGGGGAAAAGGGAATGGGGAATGGAGAAAAGGGAATAGGGAATGGGAATAGGGAATGGGGAAAAGGGAATGGGGAATGGAGAATAGAGAATGGAGAATAGGGAATGGGGAATGGGGGATGGAGAATAGGGAATGGGGAATGGGAAACAGGGAATGGGGAATAGGAAATTGAAAACAGGGAATATAGAATGGAAAATAGGCAATACAGGACAGGCAATAGGGAATGGAGAGTAAGGAATAGGGAATGGAGAATAGGGAATGAGGAATGGGGAATGGAGAATAGGGAATGGGGAATGGGAAACAGGGAATGGGGTATAGTGAATGGGGGATGGAGAATAGGGAATAGGGAATGGGGAATGGAGAATAGGGAATGGGGAACAGGGAATGAAGAACAGGGAACAGAGAATAGGGAATAGAGAACAGGGAATGGGGAATGGGGAAAAGGGAATGGGGAATGGAGAATAGGGAATGGGGACAGGGAATTGGGGATGGGGGATGGAGAACAGGGAATGGGGAATTGAAAACAGGGAATATAGAATGGAAAAAGAGGAAATACAGGACAGGCAATAGGGAATGAGGGATGGGGAATAGGGAATGGAGAATTGGGAATGAGAGATGGAGAATAGGGAATGGGGGATGGGGAATAGGGAATGGGGGATGGGGAACAGGGAATGGAGAATTGGGAATGAGAGATGGGGAATAGGGAATGGGGGATGGAGAATTGGGAATGAGAGATGGGGAGATGGAGAAGAGGTCAGGGGTCAGGGGTCAGGGGTCAGGGGTCCCGCCCCGTCCCTCCCCAGGAGGGCTCCGCAGACGAGGGCGAAGCCGGCGAGGAGCAGGAGGGCTCCGCGCATGCGCAGCTCGCGGGGCGGGACCTCCCGCGCCGTGACGTAGAGGAAGGCGCCGGCCGCGAGCCCGCGCAGCACGGCCCGCGCCAGCCCCGCGCGCGCGCCCCCGAGCCAGGCCCCGCCCCCGAGCCAGGCCCCGCCCCCGAGCCAGGCCCCGCCCCCGAGCGCGCCCCCGAGCGCGAGCACGAGCAGGGCGGCGGCCACGGCCGGGGGGCGGAGCCCCGCGCGGAGCATGCGCAGAGCCAGCCCCGCCCCCAAGGCCCCGCTGTGCAGCAGCAGCGCCGGGCTCAGCCCCGGCCCCGCCTCCGCCTCGCGCATGCCCAGAGCCAGGAGCAGCGCCGCGGCGCGGGGGGGGCTGCAGGGAAGGGGCGGGGCCAAGGGGAGGGGCGGGGCCCGAGGCTCCATCGCGATTGGCTCCAGCAGCGGCGGGAGGAGGAAGCCCAGCGCGAGGATGAAGGCGGGGAGAGGGAACTGCGGCTGCGCGGAGGGAGGGGGGGATGAAGGGGGAAGAGCCGGGCTCCCATCACCCTCCTCGTCACCCATCCCCATCGTCCCATTCCCATCCCCATCATCTCCACCCCCAATATCCCATTCCCGTTGTCTCCATCCCCAATATCCCATTCCCGTTGTCTCCATCCCCAATATCCCGTTCCCGTTGTCTCCATCCCCAATATCCCGTTCCCGTTCTCTCCATCCCCAATATCCCGTTCCCGTTGTCTCCATCCCCATCATCCCATTCCCGTTGTCTCCATCCCCAATATCCCATTCCCGTTGTCTCCCTCCCCAATATCCCATTCCCGTTGTCTCCATCCCCAATATCCCATTCCCGTTGTCTCCATCCCCAATATCCCATTCCCGTTGTCTCCATCCCCATTATCCCATTCCCGTTGTCTCCATCCCCATCGTCCCATTCCCGTTGTCTCCATCCCCATCGTCCCATTCCCGTTGTCTCCATCCCCATCGTCCCATTCCCGTTGTCTCCATCCCCATCGTCCCATTCCCGTTGTCTCCATCCCCAATATCCCATTCCCGTTGTCTCCATCCCCAATATCCCATTCCCGTTGTCTCCATCCCCAATATCCCATTCCCGTTGTCTCCATCCCCAATATCCCATTCCCGTTGTCTCCATCCCCAATATCCCATTCCCGTTGTCTCCATCCCCAATATCCCATTCCCGTTGTCTCCATCCCCAATATCCCGTTCCCGTTGTCTCCATCCCCAATATCCCATTCCCGTTGTCTCCCTCCCCAATATCCCATTCCCGTTGTCTCCATCCCCAATATCCCGTTCCCGTTGTCTCCCTCCCCAATATCCCATTCCCGTTGTCTCCATCCCCATCATCCCATTCCCGTTGTCTCCATCCCCAATATCCCATTCCCGTTGTCTCCATCCCCAATATCCCATTCCCGTTGTCTCCATCCCCATCATCCCATTCCCGTTGTCTCATCCCCATATACATCCCGTTGTCTCCATCCCCAATATCCCATTCCCGTTGTCTCCATCCCCATCATCCCATTCCCGTTGTCTCCATCCCCATCATCCCATTCCCGTTGTCTCCATCCCCAATATCCCGTTCCCGTTGTCTCCATCCCCAATATCCCGTTCCCGTTGTCTCCATCCCCATCATCCCATTCCCGTTGTCTCCATCCCCATCGTCGAATTCCCATCCCCATCATCTCCACCCCCAATATCCCATTCCCGTTGTCTCCCTTCCCAATATCCCATTCCCGTTGTCTCCACCCCCAATATCCCTTTCCCGTTGTCTCCATCCCCAATATCCTATTCCCGTTGTCCCCCCACCCCTATGGAGCTCCCCACACCCCTATGCTCTCCCCACACCCCTATGGAGCTCACACGCCCCTATGGAGCTCCCCCCACCCCTATGGAGCTCCCCCCACCCCTATGGAGCTCCCCCCACCCCTATGGAGCTCCCCACACCCCTATGGGGCTCCCCAAACCCCTATGGAGCTCCCCACACCCCATGGGGCTCCCCACACCCCATGGAGCTCCCCACACCCCTATGGAGCTCCCCACACCCCTATGGAGCTCCCCACACCCCTATGGAGCTCCCCACACCCCATGGAGCTCCCCACACCCCTATGGAGCTCCCACACCCCTATGGGGCTCCCCACACCCCTATGGAGCTCCCCACACCCCTATGGAGCTCCCCACACCCCTATGGAGCTCCCCACACCCCCATGGAGCTCCCCACACCCCTATGGAGCTCCCCACACCCCTATGGAGCTCCCCACACCCCTATGGAGCTCCCCACACCCCTATGGAACTCCCCACACCCCTATGGAGCTCCCCACACCCCTATGGAGCTCCCCACACCCCTATGCTCTCCCCACACCCCTATGGAGCTCCCCACACCCCTATGGAGCTCCCCACACCCCTAGGGGGCTCCCCACACCCCTATGGAGCTCCCCACACCCCTATGGAGCTCCCCACACCCCTATGGGGCTCCCCACACCCCTATGGGGCTCCCCACACCCCTATGGAGCTCCCCACACCCCTATGGAGCTCCCCACACCCCTATGCTCTCCCCACACCCCCATGGGGCTCCCCACACCCCTATGCTCTCCCCACACCCCTATGGGGCTCCCCACACCCCTATGCTCTCCCCACACCCCTATGGAGCTCCCCACACCCCTATGCTCTCCCCACACCCCCATGGGGCTCCCCACACCCCTATGCTCTCCCCACACCCCCATGGGGCTCCCCACACCCCTATGCTCTCCCCACACCCCTATGCTCTCCCCACACCCCTATGGAGCTCCCCACACCCCTATGGAGCTCCCCACACCCCTATGGGGCTCCCCACACCCCTATGGGGCTCCCCACACCCCTATGCTCTCCCCACACCCCCATGGGGCTCCCCACACCCCTATGGAGCTCCCCACACCCCTATGGAGCTCCCCACACCCCTATGCTCTCCCCACACCCCTATGGGGCTCCCCACACCCCTATGGAGCTCCCCACACCCCTATGGAGCTCCCCACACCCCTATGCTCTCCCCACACCCCTATGGGGCTCCCCACACCCCTATGGAGCTCCCCACACCCCTATGCTCTCCCCACACCCCTATGGGGCTCCCCACACCCCTATGCTCTCCCCACACCCCTATGGAGCTCCCCACACCCCTATGGAGCTCCCCACACCCCTATGGAGCTCCCCACACCCCTATGGAGCTCCCCACACCCCTATGGAACTCCCCACACCCCTATGCTCTCCCCACACCCCTATGGGGCTCCCCACACCCCTATGGAGCTCCCCACACCCCTATGCACTCCCCACACCCCTATGGAGCTCCCCACACCCCCATGGGGCTCCCCCACCCCTTCGGGGCCGGTCCCCCCTGGCTCACGCTGAGGCTCAGCCGCTGCAGCGCGGCCCCGATGCTGCAGAGGGCGCTGGGGAGCAGCTCCAGCAGCGCCGTGCCCAGGAACACGCCCCCGGCGAAGCAGCTCAGGAGGCCCAGGAGGGGGCTGGGGGCGCCTGGGGGGGGGGAATGGGGCTGGGACCCCCCCGTGGAACCCCCAGAGCGGCCCCATTGGGGCCCTGCAGAGCCCCAGGTCCCATTGGAGCTTCCCCCCCCCCCCCACATCCCCGACATGCAGGGACTGGGGGGTGGATGGGGTGGGGGGGGGGAGGGATGGGGATGGGATGGGGATGGGATGGGGATGGGATGGGGATGGGATGGAGATGGGGTGGGAATGGGGATGGGGTGGGGATAGGATGGGGATGGGGATGAGATGGAAATGGGGATGGGATGGGGAGGGGATGGAATGGGGGTGGGATGGGAATGGGATGGGGATGGGGTGGGGATGGGGATGGGGATGGGAATGGGATGGGGTGGGGATGGGGATGGGGATGGGATGGGGATGAGATGGAAATGGGGATGGGATGGGGAGGGGATGGGGATGGGATGGGATGGGAATGGGGATGGGGTGGGGATGAGATGGAAATGGGGATGGGATGGGATGGAGATGGGATGAGATGGAAATAGGGATGAGATGGAAATAGGGATGGGATGGGGAGGGGATGGGAATGGGATGGGGATGGGAATGGGATGGGGATGGGATGGGGAGGGGATGGGATGGGGATGAGGAGGGGATGGGGTTGGGGATGGGGTTGAGACCCCACCCGGTCCCCGCCCCAATTTCCCCCTCCCTCCCCCCCCCCCCGAAGCTCCGCCCCCCCTCCTCTCCCCCCCCCCCGTTACCGGTTCCCGGTCGGTGCCCCCGGAAGCAGCCGAGCGGCCCCAGCCCGCACGCGAGCGGCAGCAGCAGCCGCAGCGCCACGGAACCGAGCCCCGGGCCCGGAGCTCCCGGAGCCATCGCGGGGCCCCGCTCAGAGCGGCCGGGAGAGAGCGGGGTCGGAAACGGGAAGTGGGGACCGGAACTGGGGAGCGGCATCAGGGAGAACGGGAGAGGGATGAAGGGAAAGGAACAGGGACCGGGATAACGGGATTGGGATCGGGATAACGGGATAAAGGGACCGGGATAAAGGGATTGGGATCGGGATAAGGGAAAGGGATCAGGGAGAACGGGAGAGGGATGAAGGGAAAGGGAACAGGGACCGGGATAACGGGATTGGGATCGGGATAAGGGAAAGGGATCAGGGAGAACGGGAGAGGGATGAAGGGAAAGGGAACAGGGAACGGGATAACGGGATCAGGGACCGGGATAACGAGATAAAGGGACTGGGATAACGGGATAAAGGGACCGGGATAAAGGGATTGGGATCGGGATAAGGGAAAAGGATCAGGGAGAACGGGGGCAGGATGAAGGGAAAGGGAACAGGGACCGGGATAACGGGATAAGGGAAAGGGATCAGGGAGAACGGGAGAGGGGTGAAGGGAAAGGGAACAGGGACCGGGATAACGGGATAAAGGGACCGGGATAATGGGATAAGGGAAAGGGAGCGGGATGAAGGGAAAGGAAACAGGGACCGGGATAACGGGATCAGGGACCAGGATCGGGATAAAGGGACCAGGATAACAGGATAAAGGGACTGGGATCGGGATGAAGGGAAAGGAAACAGGGACCGGTATCAGGAACAGGGACCGGGATGAAGGGATAAGGGAAATGGATCGGGATAAAGGGAAAGGGAACAGGGACCGGGATCGGGATCGGGGACTGGGATAACGGGACTGGGATCGGGATAAGGGAAAGGAACAGGGACCGGGATAAAGGGGTAAGGGAAAGGGATCACGGAGAAAGGGATCGGGAGAAAGGGAAAGGGACCGGGATAACAGGATTGGGATCGGGATAAAGGGAAAGGAACAGGGACCAGGATCGGGATAAGGGGACCGGGATGAAGGGATTGGGATCGGGATAAGGGAAAGGAACAGGGACCGGATCGGGATCAGGATCAGGGGCCAGGATAACAGGATTGGGATCGGGATAAAGGGAAAGGGATCAGGGAGAAAGGGATCGGGATCAGGGACTGGGATAATGGGACTGGGATAACGGGATAAGGGAAAGGGATCAGGGATCGGGATCAGGGACCGGGATAAAGGGATTGGGATCGAGAAGTAAAGGGAAAGGGAACAGGGACCGGGATCGGGATAAGGGAAAGGAACAGGGACTGGGATCGGGATCAGGGACCGGGATTGGGATAAGGGACCGGGGTAACGGGATTGGGATCGGGATAAGGGAAAGGGATCAGGGAGAAAGGGATCAGGGACCGGGATAAAGGGATTGGGATCGGCATTGGCATCAGGCACCGGGATAAAGAGCTGGGATCAGGATAAGGGATCGGGATCAAGGACCGGGATAAAGGGATTGGAATCGGGAATGGGATCAGGATTGGGATAAGAGACCAGGATAAAAAGCTGGGATCTGGATAAGGGACCAGGATCGGGATCAGAGACCAGGATAAAGGGAAAGGATCAGGATAAGGGATCGGGATTGGGATCAAGGACTGGGATCAGGGACTGGGATCAAGATAAACGACCGGAATCGGGATTAAGGGCAGGGATCGGGATAAGGGACCAGGATTGAGATCAAGGACCAGGATAAACTGGGACCGGGATCAGGAATTGGGATCGGGATCAGGATCAAGGACCAGGATAAATGGCTGGGATCAGGACCAAGGACCGGGATAAAGGGCTGGGATCAGGATAAGGGAGCGGGATTGGGATCAAGGACTGGGATAAAAGGTTGGGATCAGGATAAAGGGCTGGGATCAGGATAAGGGACCGGAATCAGCATCAAGGACCGGAATAAAAGGCTGGGATTACGATAAGGGACCGGGATCGGGATCAAGGACCGGGATAAAAGGCTGGGATCGGGATAAGGGAGTGGGACTAGGATCAAGGACCGGGATAAAGGGCTGGGATCACGATAAGGGACCAGAACCCAGATGAAGGACCAGGATATAGGGCTGGGATCGGGATCAAGGACCGGGATAAAGGGCTGCGATCAGGATAAGGGACCGGAATCAGCATCACGGACCGGGATAAAAGGCTGGGATCGGGATACGGGACCGGGATCGGGATCAAGGACCGGGATAGGGGACCGGTCCGGGATCCGGGATCGGGATCGAGGACTGGGATGAGGGATCGGGACCCGGGTCAAGGACCGGGATCATGGAACTGGGATCCAGGACCAGGATCGAGCCCCCCCCCCCCCCCCCCCCAATTCACCGCTCCCCCCATCGCGCACACACACCCCCCCCCGGGTCGAGGGGGCGGAGCCTCACTGGCCTCAGCCAATAGAAACGCGGGCACCCGCTACATGACGCGCGCATCAGCCAATAGGAAACGAGACCGCGCGCACGTGCCCCGTCCCCGCTCCCGTTATCGGCGGTAAGCGGTGGAGCTGATGGGGAGCTCCAACGGGACAGGGATACAGGGATATCGCGACATTGCGACAGGGATACAGGGATATCGCGACAGGGATACAGGGATATCGCGACATTGCGACAGGGATACAGGGATATCGCGACAGGGAACAGGGATACAGGGATATCGCGACAGGGAACAGGGATACAGGGATATCGCGACACAGAACATGGATACAGCGATATCGCAACAGGGATATCGCGACAAGGAACATGGATACAGGGATATCGCGACAGGGATACAGGGATATCGGGACAGGGATACTGGGACCAGAGACATGGATACAGGAACAGGCAAAAGGGATGCAGGAAGACGGGAACATGGATACAGGAACAGGGATACAGGAACAGGGATATAGGGATACAAGAACAGGGATGTAGGGATATAGGAACAGGGATGTAGGGATACATGAACAGGGATGTAGGGATATAGGAACAGGGATGTAGGGATACATGAACAGGGATGTAGGGATACAGGAACAGGAATACAGGGATACAGGAACAGGGATGTAGGGATATAGGAACAGGGATGTAGGGATACAGGAACAGGGATGTAGGGATACATGAACAGGGATGTAGGGATATAGGAACAGGGATGTAGGGATACATGAACAGGGATGTAGGGATACAGGAACAGGAATACAGGGATACAGGAACAGGGATGTAGGGATACAGGAACAGGGATGTAGGGATACATGAACAGGGATGTAGGGATATAGGAACAGGGATGTAGGGATACATGAACAGGGATGTAGGGATACAGGAACAGGAATACAGGGATACAGGAACAGGGATGTAGGGATACAGGAACAGGGATGTAGGGATATAGGAACAGGGATGTAGGGATACATGAACAGGGATGTAGGGATACAGGAACAGGAATACAGGGATACAGGAACAGGGATGTAGGGATATAGGAACAGGGATGTAGGGATACAGGAACAGGGATGTAGGGATACAGGAACAGGGATGTAGGGATATAGGAACAGGGATGTAGGGATACAGGAACAGGGATGTAGGGATACAGGAACAGGGATGTAGGGATACAGGAACAGGGATGTAGGGATACAGGAACAGAGATACAGGAACAGGGATGTAGGGATACAGGAACAGGAATACAGGGATACAGGAACAGGGATGTAGGGATATAGGAACAGGGATGTAGGGATACAGGAACAGGGATGTAGGGATACAGGAACAGGGATGTAGGGATACAGGAACAGAGATACAGGAACAGGGATGTAGGGATACAGGAACAGGGATGTAGGGATATAGGAACAGGGATGTAGGGATACATGAACAGGGATGTAGGGATATAGGAACAGGGATGTAGGGATACATGAACAGGGATGTAGGGATACAGGAACAGGGATGTAGGGATACAGGAACAGAGATACAGGAACAGTGATGTAGGGATACAGGAACAGAGATACAGGAACAGGGATGTAGGGATACAGGAACAGGGATGTAGGGATATAGGAACAGGGATGTAGGGATACAGGAACAGGGATGTAGGGATACAGGAACAGGGATGTAGGGATACAGGAACAGAGATACAGGAACAGGGATGTAGGGATACAGGAACAGGGATGTAGGGATACAGGAACAGGGATGTAGGGATACAGGAACAGAGATACAGGAACAGTGATGTAGGGATACAGGAACAGGGATACAGGAACAGGGATGTAGGGATACAGGAACAGGGATGTAGGGATACAGGAACAGGGATACAGGAACAAGGATACAGGAACAGGGATGTAGGGATACAGGAACAGGGATGTAGGGATACAGGAACAGGGATGTAGGGATACAGGAACAGGGATACAGGAACAGGGATACAGGAACAGGGATACAGGAACAGGGATACAGGGATACCAACACGTTGCTACAAGGATGTAACACAATTGGGGGGGGGGGGTACCCCCACCCTGGCTCCCCCCTGGGCACAACCCCCCCCCCCGTCCCCCCATCCCCAAACCACGCGGGGGGCTCCAGGGCCTCCGGGTTTATTGCTGCCAACCCCAGGGGCTCCTGCCCAACCCCACGGGGGCCACCCCATAGGCTCCGCCCCACAGGCTCCGCCCCACAGGCTCCACCCACGTAGGCTCCGCCCCCATAGGCTCCGCCCCACGGGCGCCCTCAGATGGCCTCCAGCTGCTTGCGCACCTTCTCGAGGGCCCGGCGGTCCAGGAGCCGCTGGCGGGAGAGCACGAGGAGGGCGGCGAGGCCCGAGAGGCCCAGCATGGAGCCCACGAAGCGCCAGAAGGAGCGGGCGTCAAGGAGAGCAGAGCGGCAGCTGCTGGGGGAACGGGGATGGGATGGGGGGCAATGGGGGAGAATGGGGATGGGAATGGGGATGGAATAGGGGAGAATGGGGATGGGGATGGGGATGGGAATGGGGGAGAATGGGGATGGGGATGGGGATGGGGATGGGGGAGAATGGGGATGGGGATGGGAATGGGGATGGGGGAGAATGGGGATGGGAATGGGGTTGGAATGGGGGAGAATGGGGATGGGGATGGGGATGGGGGAGAATGGGGATGGGAATGGGAATGGGGGAGAATGGGGATGGGAATGGGGTTGGAATAGGGGAGAATGGGGATGGGGATGGGAATGGGGATGGGGGAGAATGGGGATGGGGATGGGGATGGGGGAGAATGGGGATGGGGATGGGGTTGGAATGGGGGAGAATGGGGATGGGGATGGGGATGGGGGAGAATGGGGATGGGGATGGGGATGGAATAGGGGAGAACGGGGATGGGGATGGGGGAGGATGGGGATGGGAATGGGGATGGGGGAGAATGGGGATGGGAATGGGGATGGGGGAGAATGGGGATGGGAATGGGGTTGGAATAGGGGAGAACGGGGATGGGGATGGGGATGGGGATGGGGGAGGATGGGGATGGGAATGGGGATGGGGGAGAATGGGGATGGGAATGGGGTTGGAATAGGGGAGAATGGGGATGGGGATGGGAATGGGGGAGAATGGGGATGGGAATGGGGTTGGAATAGGGGAGAATGGGGATGGGGATGGGGATGGGAATGGGGGAGAATGGGGATGGGGATGGGGATGGGGGAGGATGGGGATGGGAATGGGGATGGGGGAGAATGGGGATGGGGATGGGAATGGGGAGAATGGGGATGGGAATGGGGTTGGAATGGGGGAAAATGGGGATGGGGATGGGGATGGGGGAGAATGGGGATGGGGGGCAATGGGGATGGGGGGGATGGGGATGGGGGAGAATGGGGATGGGAATGGGGATGGAATAGGGGAGAACGGGGATGGGGATGGGGATGGGGGAGGATGGGGATGGGAATGGGGATGGGGGAGAATGGGGATGGGAATGGGGTTGGAATAGGGGAGAATGGGGATGGGGATGGGGATGGGAATGGGGGAGGATGGGGATGGGAATGGGGATGGGGGAGAATGGGGATGGGGATGGGAATGGGGATGGGGGGGATGGGGTTGGAATAGGGGAGAATGGGGATGGGGATGGGAATGGGGATGGGGGAGGATGGGGATGGGGGGCAATGGGGATGGGGGGGATGGGGATGGGGGGCAATGGGGATGGGAATGGGGGAGAATGGGAATGGGGATGGGAATGGGGGGCAATGGGGATGGGGTTGGAATAGGGGAGAACGGGGATGGGGGGCGATGGGGATGGAACGGGGATGGGGATGGGAATGGGGGAGAATGGGGATGGGAATGGGGGGCAATGGGGATGGGGGGGATGGGGATGGGGGGCAATGGGGGGGAATGGGGAGGGAATGGAGGGGGATGGGGTTGGAATAGGGGAGAATGGGGATGGGGGGGAATGGGGATGGGGGGGGAATGGGGATGGGGTTGGAATAGGGGAGAATGGGGATGGCGGGAGATGGGGGGGAATGGGGATGGGGGGGATGGGGTTGGAATAGGGGAGAATGGGGATGGGAATGGGGATGGGGGGGGAATGGGGGGGGAATGGGGAGGGAATGGGGGGGGATGGGGTTGGGAATGGGGGGGAATGGGGATGGGGTTGGAATAGGGGAGAATGGGGATGGGGAGATGGGGGGAAATGGGGGGGGATGGGGATGGGAATAGGGATGGGGTTGGGAATGGGGTTGGGGGGGATGGGGTTGGGAATGGGGGATGGAATGGGAATGGGGTTGAGAATGGGGGGGAATGGGGATGGGGTTGGGGGGGATGGGGGGAAATGGGAATGGAGGGGGAATGGGGATGGGGTTGGGAATGGGGGGAATGGGGATGGGAATGCGGGGGAAGAGGAATGGGGGGAATGGGAATGGGGGGATGGGGAATGGGGGGGAGAATGGGAATGAGGTTGGGAATTGGGGGGAATGGGGTTGGGAATAGGGGGGGAATGGGGGGGAATGGGAATAGGGATGGGGTTGAGAATGGGGTTGGGAATAGGAATGGGGGGAGAATGGGGATGGGGGCAATGGGAATGGGGTTGGGAACAGGAGGATGGGGAATGGGGTGGAAAGGGGGCAGGAATGGGATGGGGTTGGGAATGGGGTTAGGAATTGGGGGGATGGGATGGGGTGGGAATGGGAATGCGGGTGCAAATGGGGGGGATGGAGTTGGAAATGGAGTGGGGACGGGGATGGGGTTGGGAATGGGAATGAAGGTTTGAATGTGGCGGGAATAGGGTTGGGAATGGGGCGGGAATGCCGCCCCTCCCCCCCAACCCTGCCCCCACCTCTTGTACTCGGCCCTCTTGGAGCCAGCGCAGTTGATTCGCTCCACGAAGCCGGTGGGGCTGCACTCGGGCACCGTCTTCTGCAGAGGAAAGGGGGCACTGGGGCTATGGGGCAGCGCTATGGGGCAGCGCTATGGAGCAGCGCTATAGGACACAGCTTTGGGGCAGGGCTTTGCGGCAGGCTATGGGGCTGGCTATGGGGCAGGGCTGTGTGACAGCGCTATGGGGCAGCGCTACAGGACGCAGCTTTGGGGCAGGGCTATGGGGCAGGGATAGGGGGAGGGCTATGGGGCAACGCTATGGAGAAGTGCTATAGGACACAGCTTTGGGGCAGGGCTTTGCGGCGGGCTATGGGGCTGGCTATGTGGCAGTGTTATGGGGCAGGGCTATGGAGCAGGCTACAGGCAGGGCTAGGGGGCAGCGCTATGGGGCAGGGCTTTGGGGCTGGCTATGGGACAGGGCTATGCGGCTGCCTATGGGGCAGGGCTGTGGGGCACAGCTATGTGGCAGTGTTATGGGGCAGGGCTATGGGCAGCGCTATAGCCAGGGCCATGGGGCAGGGCTATAGGACAAGGCTAGGGGGCAAGGCTTTGGGGCTAGCTATGGGACAGGGCTATGGGGCTGGCTATGAGGCAGGGCTTTGGGTCTGGCTATGGGGCACAACTATGGGGCAGTGCTATGGGGCAGGGCTATGGGCCGGCGCTATGGAGCAGGGCTATGGGCAGCGCTATGGCCAGGGCCATGGGGCAGGGCTATAGGACAAGGCTAGGGGGCAAGGCTTTGGGGCTGGCTACGGGACAGGGCTTTGGGGCTGGCCATGGGGCAGGGCTGTGGGGCACAACTATGGGGCAGTGCTATGGGGAAGCGCTAGGGGACAGGGCTATGGGGCTGCATGTGGGGCAGGGCTGTGGGGCACAGCTATGTGGCAGTGTTATGGGGTAGGGCTATGGGCCAGCGCTATGGGGCAGGGCTATAAGACAAGGCTATGGGACAGGGCTATGGGCCAGCGCTATGGGGCAGAGTTGTAGGGCACAGCTATGAGGCAGGGCTATGGGGCTGCCTATGGGGCAGGGCTGTAGGGCACAGCTATGGGACAGGGCTATGGAGCTGCCTATGGGGCAGGGTTGTAAGGCACAGCTATGGGACAGGGCTATGGAGCTGCCTATGGGGCAGGGTTGTAGGGCAGAGCTATGAGGCAGGGTTATGGGGCTGCCTATGGAGCAGGGTTGTAGGGCAGAGCTATGAGGCAGGGCTATGGGGCTGCCTATGGGGCAGGGTTGTAGGGCACAGCTATGAGGCAGGGCTATGGGGCTGCCTATGGGGCAGGGTTGTAGGGCACAGCTATGAGGCAGGGCTATGGGGCTGCCTATGGGGCAGGGTTGTAAGGCACAGCTATGGGACAGGACTATGGAGCTGCCTATGCGGCAGGGTTGTAGGGCAGAGCTATGAGGCAGGGCTATGGGGCAGGGCTGTAGGGCACAGCTATGGGGCAGAGCTATGGGGCAGGGCTGTAGGGCACAGCTATGGGGCAGGGCTATGGGGTACGCTATGGGTCGCGCTATGGCGCAGCCGCCGTCACCATCTGGAAGCCGGAGCAGGGCCCGCACTCCTGCGCCACCACGAACTCCTCCACCCGCCAGCACGGGGTGGCCGCCACCGGGCTCGCTGCGGGGAACCGGAAACGAGGGGGGAGGATTCAGCACCGGGCCCCGGTTCCGGTCCCCAACCCCCGGTTCCGGTTCCGGTCCCCGCTCACCCGAGCGCCGCTCGTCCCCCGCCGCCATCGCCGCCGCGGGCCTGTGGGGAGCAACGAGAGGCGGTGAAGGCCGCGCCACGGGGGGGGGGGGGAGGCTCCGCTCCCCCGGTAACGGGGCCGGTACCGACCTCAGGCCGCAGAGCAGCAGCCCCAGCACCGCGCAGAGCGGCCCGGCCGGGCCCATCCCGGCGGCGCTACCGGAGGCACCGGGCCCAGGCCTCAGGCGGCGCCGCCATCTTGGGACACTGAGGGGAGGTGGGCGGGGCTTGTGCGTCATGACGTATGCACGGGGGCGGGGCTTCGCCGCAAAGGAGAGAGGTTAAAGATGAATGGGCGTGGCTTGCGGGGGGGGGGGGGGTGGGGTCGTTTGCAGCCAATGGGGAGTGGGTTTGATTGTAAACGTCACCCATGGGGGCGCGGCTTTATGGTAAACGGGCTCGGGGGCCGTTTCCAGCCAATGGGGTGCGCCTTTGCGTGTTAACGTCACTCATCCGCAACATGGCTGCCCCCATCTCCACCGGGGCACCGCCAACATGGCCGCCCCCGTGCTCCTCCAACATGGCCGCCTCCATCCCTATCATGGCACCGCCCCTACCCCACCCATGGCTCCGCCCCATCCCCACCATGGCTCCGCCCCCATCCCTATCATGGCACCGCCCCTACCCCAACCATGGCTCCGCCCCCAACATGGCCACCCCCACTCCCCTCCACGCCGGCCGCCGCCATCCCCGCCATGGCGCCGCCCGCCTAAGCCCCGCCCCACTTCCGCCCTTGCGGGGGAAACCCCGCGCCCTCTTTAACCCCTCCCACCTCCCCTCACGCTCCCTTTCCGGCCGCGGCTCCCTCCACGCCACCATGCCCGTGAGCACCGCGGCGGCCCCGGAGGGGGGGTTCCGTAACCCCGGGGGTTGGGAATGGAGCGGGGAGATGGGGATGGGGGAAGCGGGGAGGGTTCCTTTGGGGCCACCGAAGGGGGTTCGGGATGGGCCGGGTTCCTCCGTGCCCGCCGCCGGGGCGCCGGTGCTGGGCCGCAAGATGGCGGCGGCGCTGAGGTGGCCGCTTGCCGCCCGCAGCTCGCCAAGGACCTGCTGCACCACTCGCCCGAGGAGGAGAAGCGGAAGCACAAGAAGAAGCGCCTGGTGCAGAGCCCCAACTCCTACTTCATGGACGTCAAGTGCCCCGGTGAGCGCCGAGCCCCGTTGGGGGGGTCCCGGTGTGCCCGGTACAGCCCGGTATAGCCCGGTGTTCATCCCGGTTTTCCCGTTAGCCCGGTGTTTAGCCCGGTGTTCCTGGTATCCCGGTACATCCCGGTGTTTATCGCGGTGTTCCCGTTATCCCGGTATATCCCGGTGTTTAACCCGGTTTTCCTGGTATCCTGATATATCCCGGTACATCCCGGTGTTTATCGCGGTGTTCCCGGTATAGCCCGGTGTTCCCGTTATCCCGATATATCCCGGTGTTTAGCCCGGTGTTCCCGTTATCCGGATATATCCCGGTACATCCCGGTGTTTAGCCCGGTGTTCCCGTTATCCCGATATATCCCGATGTTTAGGCCGGTTTTCCCGTTATCCCGGTGTTTAGCCCGGTATTCCTGCTATCCTGGTGCATCCCGGTGTTTAGCCCGGTGTTCCTTGTATCCCGATATATCCCGGTATATCTCCGTGTTCCTGGTACATCCCGGTGTTCATCCCGGTGTTCATCCCGGTGTTCATCCCGATGTTCATCCCGATGTTCATCCCGATGTTCATCCCGATGTTCATCCCGGTGTTCATCCCGGTGTTCATCCCGGTGTTCCCGTTATCCCGATATATCCCGGTACATCCCGGTGTTTATCGCGGTGTTCCCGGTATAGCCCGGTGTTCCTTGTATCCCGATATATCCCGGTATATCCCCGTGTTCCTGGTACATCCCGGTGTTCCCGTTATCCCGATATATCCCGGTGTTTACCCCGGTAGGTTCCCGTTATCCCTCTATATCCCCGTACATCCCGGTGTTTCCAGTGTTCCTGTATCCCGATATATCCCGGTATATCCCCGTGTTCCCGGTATTGCGGTGTTCCTGTGTTCATCCCGGTGTTCCCGGTGTTGATCTGGGTGTTGATCCCGGTATTCCCGGCATTTATCCCGGTGTCTATCCCAGTCTATCTCGCTGTTGATCGCGCTATTCCCGGGCTATCCCGGTGTCTCTCCCGCTGTTTATCCCGCTGTAGACCCCGCTGTTGATCCCGGTATTCCCGCTATTTATCCCGCTGTTGATCCCGCTATTCCCGGTGTCCATCCCCGTGTCTGTCCCGCTGTTGATCTCGGTTTATCCCGGCGTTATTCCCGCTATTCCTTGTGTATCCCGGTGTCAATGCTGGTGTCTATCCCGCTCTCTCCCCCCGTTGATCCCGCTCTCCCCCCCCGTTGATCCGGTGTTGATCCCGGTCTCTCCCCCCGTTGATCCCGGTGTTGATCCCGCTCTCTCCCCCCGTTGATCCCGGTGTTGATCCCGCTCTCTCCCCCCGTTGATCCCGGTGTTGATCCCGGTCTCTCCCCCCGTTGATCCCGGTGTTGATCCCGGTCTCTCCCCCCGTTGATCCCGGTGTTGATCCTGCTCTCCCCCCCCCGTTGATCCCGATGTTGATCCCGCTCTCCCCCCCCCCGTTGATCCCGGTGTTGATCCCGCTCCCCCCCCCCGTTGATCCCGGTGTTGATCCCGGTGTTGATCCCGCTCTCTCCCCCCGTTGATCCCGGTGTTGATCCCGGTGTTGATCCCGCTCTCTCCCCCGTTGATCCGGTGTTGATCCCGCTCTCTCCCCCGTTGATCCCGGTGTTGATCCCGCTCCCCCCCCCCGTTGATCCCGGTGTTGATCCCGGTGTTGATCCCGGTGTTGATCCCGCTCTCCCCCCCCGTTGATCCCGGTGTTGATCCCGGTCTCTCCCCCCGTTGATCCCGGTGTTGATCCCGGTGTTGATCCCGCTCTCTCCCCGCGTTGATCCCGGTGTTGATCCCGGTGTTGATCCCGCTCTCCCCCCCCCGTTGATCCCGGTGTTGATCCCGCTCCCCCCCCCCGTTGATCCCGGTGTTGATCCCGGTGTTGATCCCGGTGTTGATCCCGGTGTTGATCCCGGTGTTGATCCCGCTCTCTCCCCGCGTTGATCCCGGTGTTGATCCCGCTCTCTCCCCCTGTTGATCCCGGTGTTGATCCCGGTGTTGATCCCGGTGTTGATCCCGGTGTTGATCCCGCTCTCTCCCCGCGTTGATCCCGGTGTTGATCCCGGTGTTGATCCCGGTGTTGATCCCGGTGTTGATCCCGGTGTTGATCCCGCTCCCCCCCCCGTTGATCCCGGTGTTGATCCCGGTGTTGATCCCGGTGTTGATCCCGCTATTCCCGGTCTTTATCCCGCTCTTCCCGCAGGCTGCTACAAGATCACGACCGTGTTCAGCCATGCCCAGACCGTGGTGCTCTGCGTTGGCTGCTCCACCGTGCTCTGCCAGCCCACGGGGGGCAAGGCGCGGCTCACCGAAGGTACCGGTCCCTTTAAATCCCCCCCCCCCCGTATCCATGGAATGGGGTTGGGAATGGCGGAATTCCCGGGATAAGGAGGTGATTCCCTTTTCCTTCCCCCCCCCTCCATCCCAGGGTGTTCCTTCCGGAGGAAGCAGCACTAAGGGATGGATGCGGCTCCGCTGGGATCTCGGCGCCGGCGTGGGGAGGAGGCCAATAAAGTGTGGATACAATAGGGAGAGATGGGTGGGATGTGAATGGGTTCATTGGGATGGGAATGGGAGCAATTCCAGTGGGAATGGGAGCAATTCCAGTGGGATGGGAGCGATCCCAGTGGGTATGGGAATGATCCCGGTGGGAACGTGAATGGTCCCAGTGGGATTGGAATGGTCCCAGTGGGATGGAAGCAATCCCAGTGGGATGGGAATGGTTCCAATGGGAATGGTCCCAGTGGGATGGGAATGGTTCCAATGGGAATGGTCCCAGTGGGATGGGAATGGTTCCAATGGGAATGGTCCCAGTGGGATGGGAGCAATCCCAGTGGGAATGGGAATGATCCCGGTGGAATGGGAGCGATCCCAATGGGAATGGTTCCAGTGGGAATGGTCCCAGTGGGAATGGGAATGATCCCAGTGGGAATACAAGTGATCCCATTGGAATGGGAATGGTCTCAGTGGGAATGGGAATGATCCCGGTGGAATGGGAGCGATCCCAGTGGGATAGGAATGGTTCCAGTGGGAATGGTCCCAGTGGGAATGATGCCAGTGGGAATACAAGTGATCCCATTGGAATGGGAATGGTCGCGGTGGGAATGGGAATGATCCCAGTGGGATGGGAGCGATCCCAGTGGGAATGGGAATGATCCCTGTGGGATGGGAATGGTTCCAATGGGAATGGTCCTAGTGGGATGGGAGCAATCCCAGTGGGAATGGGAATGAACCCGGTGGGATGTGAATGATGCCGGTGGGAACGTGAATCATCCCGGTGGGATTGGAATGGTTCCAGTGGGAATGGTCCCAGTGGGAATGGGAATGATCCCTGTGGGATGGGAGTGATCCCAGTGGGAATGGGAATGATCCTGGTGGGATGGGAGCGATCCCAATGGGAATGATCCCAGTGGGAATGGGAATGGTTCCAGTGGGATGGGAGCGATCCCAATGGGAATGATCCCAGTGGGAATGGGAATGGTTCCAGTGGGATGGGAGCGATCCCAGTGGGAGTGGGAATGATCCCGGTGGAAGTGGGAATGGTTCCAGTAGGAATGGGAATGATCTCAGCGGGATACAAATGGTCCTGGTGGGATGGGAATGGTTCCAGTGGGAATGGGAATGATTCTGGTGGGAGTGGGAATGGGAATGGGAATGGTCCCATTGGGATGTGAATGATCCCAGTGGGAATACAAGTGATCCCATTGGAATGGGAATGGTCGCGGTGGGAATGGGAATGATCCTAGTGGGATGCGAATGATCCCATTGGGATGGGAATGGGAATGGTCCCGGTGGGATGCAAGTGATCCCGGTGGGAATGTGGTTTCTTCTAGAGCATAGGGGGAACCGAGCCCCACATGGAGGTGGGGATGCGCATCCCGGATGGAAAGAGCAGGGATGCAGCTCCCAGGGAGTGGGGAATGAGGAGCAGGAAGGGATCCATGGGGTGGGGATGGGATCCGGGAGCTCCTGTGGGGTGAACCCCCCCCAATGGGGGATGTGGGGAACCCATAGGGACACGGGGGTTGGGGGGCACCATGGGGGATGGAAGGAGATGGGAATAGGTTTGGGAGCATGGGAATATCATGGGGATGTGGGGAACAGGGACCCCCATACACCCCATAGGGACAGGGATGACCAGGGAACCCCATGCACCCCATAGGGGCACTGATGCGCATTGACCCCCATCCACCCCATAGGGACACTGATGCCCATTGACCCCCATACACCCCATAGGGACAGGGATGCACAGGCACCCCATGCACCCCATAGGGACATGAGTGCACAGGGACCCCCATAGGGGCACTGATGCGCATTGACCCCCATACACCCCATAGGGACACTGATGCCCATTGACCCCCATACACCCCATAGGGACAAGCATGCACGGGGACCCCCATACACCCCATAGAAACACGGATGCACATTGACCCCCATACACCCCATATGAGCACTGATGCACATTGACCCCCATCCACCCCATAGGAACACGGATGCACAGGGACCCCCATCCACCCCATAGGGGCACTGATGCCCTTTGACCCCCATCCACCCCATAGGAACACAGATGCCCATTGACCCCCATACACCCCATAGGAACACAGATGCACATTGACCCCCATTCACCCCATAGGGGCACTGATGCGCATTGACCCCCATTCACCCCATAGGAACACTGATGCCCATTGACCCTCATACACCCCATAGGGGCACTGATGCCCATTGACCCCCATACACCCCATAGGAACAGGGATGCACAGGGACCCCCATAGGGGCACTGATGCACATTGACCCCCATACACCCCATAGGAACACAGATGCACATTGACCCCCATTCACCCCATAGGAACACTGATGCCCATTGACCCTCATACACCCCATAGGGGCACTGATGCACATTGACCCCCATACACCCCATAGGAACACTGATGCCCCTTGACCCCCATACACCCCATAGGGACAAGCATGCATGGGGACCCCCATCCACCCCATAGGAACACTGATGCCCATTGACCCCCATCCACCCCATAGGGACACTGATGCCCTTTGACCCCCATCCACCCCATAGGAACACTGATGCACATTGACCCCCATCCACCCCATAGGGACACTGATGCCCATTGACCCCCATCCACCCCACAGGGACACTGATGCCCATTGACCCCCATCCACCCCATAGGGACACTGATGCCCATTGACCCTCATACACCCCATAGGGGCACTGATGCCCATTGACCCCCATACACCCCATAGGAACACGGATGCACAGGGACCCCCATAGGGGCACTGATGCCCATTGACCCCCATCCACCCCATAGGGACACTGATGCCCATTGACCCCCATCCACCCCATAGGGACACTGATGCCCATTGACCCCCATCCACCCCATAGGAACACTGATGCCCATTGACCCCCGTCCACCCCATAGGGACACTGATGCCCATTGACCCCCATCCACCCCATAGGGACACTGATGCCCATTGACCCCCATACACCCCATAGGGACACTGATGCCCATTGACCCCCATCCACCCCATAGGGACAAGCATGCACGGGGACCCCCATCCACCCCATAGGGACACAGATGCCGAAGCGTGTGTGGGGGGTGCAGCACCTTTATTGTCCCCTATCCCCGGGTTGGGGGTCACTCCTCGTGCCCATGGGGCGGGGGGGGCACCGCCAGCCCCATTGGCACCCGCTCCAGGTAAGCGGAGTCGAAGCAGCGGCGCCGGGTGGCCGCATCCCCCCCCTCACAGCAGCGTTTTGGGTCCTTCCAGCCCCCCCTTGCCCCATGGGTGCTGCACAGGGTGGCGATGGTGTGGGTCAGCTGTGGGCAGGAGGGAGGTACCATGGTCAGTTTGGGGGGGGGGGGTTATGGGGCGGGGATTGCCCCATAGGGCACTCACCTGCTCCTCGGTGCAGGCGCGTTGCTCCTGGGGGGGGCGAGGGCAGCAGGAGGTGATGGCCCCCAGGAGCTCTGGGATTGGGCGCCTGCGGGATGGGGGGGAGCAATGGGATGTGGGGCAGGGATGGGATGGGGGGGGAGCAATGGGATGTGGGGCAGGGATGGGATGGGGGGGAGCAATGGGATGTGGGGCAGGGATGGGATGGGGGGGAGCAATGGGATGTGGGGCAGGGATGGGATGGGGGGGAGCAATGGGATGTGGGGCAGGGATGGGATGGGGGGGGAGCAATGGGATGTGGGGCAGGGATGGGATGGGGGGGGAGCAATGGGATGTGGGGCAGGGATGGGATTGGGGGGGAGCAATGGGATGTGGGGCAGGGATGGGATGGGGGGGAGCAATGGGATGTGGGGCAGGGATGGGATGGGGGGGGAGCAATGGGATGTGGGGCAGGGATGGGATGTAGGGAGGAGCAGTGGAATGGCAGGGGCAGGAATGGGATGTAGGAGGCAGGGATGGGATATGGGGGGAGTGAGGGGATGAGGGTCAGGGATGGGATGTGAAGGGGCAGGGATGGGATATAGTGGTTACCAATGGGATGGGGGCACAAATGGGATGGGACCAGGGATGGGAGCACCAATGGGGTGGGGGCTCCGATGGGGATGTGGGGCAGGGATGGGATCACCAATGGGATGGGGGCTCCGATGGGGATGTGGGGCTGGGATGGGATCACCAATGGGATGGGGGCTCCGATGAGGATGTGGGGCAGGGATGGGATCACCAATGGGGATGAGGTCGCCGATGGGATGGGATGGGTCAGCAGTGGGATGAGGGCTCCAATGGGATGGGATCATCAATGGGATGGGGGCAGGGATGGGATGGGATGGGGACACCAATGGGGATGAGGTCGCCGACGGGATGGGGGCTTCAATGGGATGGGTCAGCAATGGGATGGGGGCTCCAATGGGGATGAGGGCTCTGATGGGGATGTGGGGCAGGGATGGGATCACCAATGGGATGAGGGCTCCGATGAGGATGTGGGGCAGGGATGGGATCACCAATGGGATGAGGGCTCCGATGAGGATGTGGGGCAGGGATGGGATCACCAATGGGATGGGGGCTCCTATGAGGATGTGGGGCAGGGATGGGATCAACAATGGGATGGGGGCTCCGATGGGGATGCGGGGCAGGGATGGGATCACCAATGGGATGGGGGCTCCGATGGGGATGTGGGGCAGGGATGGGATCACCAATGGGATGGGGGTTCCGATGGGGATGTGGGGCAGGGATGGGATCACCAATGGGATGGGGGCTCCGATGAGGATGTGGGGCAGGGATGGGATCACCAATGGGATGGGGGTTCCAATGGGGATGTGGGGCAGGGATGGGATCCGTGGGGCAGGGATGTTTCGGGGGGTGCCGGTGCCCACCTCTTGCTGAGCAGCCTGGCGGGGCCGCAGAGCGCCCGCAGCATCGCGGGCCCTGCCCGGCCCAGGCTCACGTTGTGCCGCTCCCGATCGTAGCGCGGCTGCGGGGCCGAGGCCGCGAAGCAGCGGAGCCGGGCGGGGGCCGAGCCCTGCCCGCAGCAGCGCCGCTCCCGGAGCCCCAGCGCCGCCTCCTGCCGGCAGAGCCGCTCCAGCCCCGAGCGCCACTGCGGGAGCGGCGGGGCTGGGACCGGCACCGGTGCCTTTGGGGACCCCCCCCCCCCCCCTTCCTGGTGCCGTTTTCCCGGTGTTCGGGGCCCTCCTGGTCCCCGCGGATGCTCGGATCCTCCCCCCCCCCTCCCTTTCCCTCCCTACCCGGAGGCCTGGATCCCCTCTTGGGATGCTTTTGTTCCATCTCTGGGTCCTGCCTGGATCCCTGCACACACCGGGGTACCCCCGTCCTGCGTCCAGCCCCAGACCCTATTCTGGGTATTGGGGTACCCCCGTCCTCCATCCAGCCCCGGACCCTATTCTGGGTATTGGGGTACCCCCGTCCTGCGTCCAGCCCCGGACCCTATTCTGGGTATTGGGGTACCCCCGTCCTGCATCCAGCCCCGGACCCTATTCTGGGTACCAGGGTACCCCCGTCCTGCATCCTGCCCCGGACCCTATTCTGGGTACCAGGGTACCCCCGTCCTGCGTCCAGCCCCGGACCCTATTCTGGGTACCAGGGTACCCCCGTCCTGCATCCAGCCCCGGACCCTATTCTGGGTATTGGGGTACCCCCATCCTCCATCCAGCCCCGGACCCTATTCTGGGTATTGGGGTACCCCCGTCCTGCGTCCAGCCCCGGACCCTATTCTGGGTATTGGGGTACCCCCGTCCTGCGTCCAGCCCCAGACCCTATTCTGGGTATTGGGGTACCCCCGTCCTGCGTCCAGCCCCGGACCCTATTCTGGGTATTGGGGTACCCCCGTCCTGCGTCCAGCCCCGGACCCTATTCTGGGTATTGGGGTACCCCCGTCCTCCATCCAGCCCCGGACCCTATTCTGGATACCAGCGTACCCCCATCCTCCATCCAGACCCGGACCCTATTCTGGGTACCAGGGTACCCCCGTCCTGCATCCAGCCCCGGACCCTATTCTGGATACCAGCGTACCCCCATCCTCCATCCAGACGCGGGCCCTATTCTGGGTACCAGGGTACCCCCATCCCGCATCCCTTTGTGCGCTCCTGCATCATTCCTGGCCCCTATTCCAGACTCCAGGGTACCCCCATCCTGCATCCCCATCTCCACTCCTGCATCATTCCGGCATCCGTGAACCCCATTCTAGGTACCAGGGTACCCCCATCCCCATCTCCACTCCTGCATCATTCCTGCATCCCTGGCCCCTATTCCGGGTACCAGGATACCCCCCATCTGCATCCCCATCTCCTCTCCTGCATCCCCAGACCCTATTCTAGGTACCAGGGTACCCCCATCTGCATCCCCATCTCTGCTCCTGCATCCCCAGACCCTATTCCGGGTACCAGGATACCCCCATCCCGCATCCCCATCTCCTCTCCTGCATCCCCAGACCCTATTCTAGGTACCAGGATACCCCCATCTGCATCCCCATCTCCTCCTGCATCATTCCTGCATCCCTGGCCCCTATTCCGGGTACCAGGATACCCCCCATCTGCATCCCCATCTCCTCTCCTGCATCCCCGGCCCCTGTTCCGGGTACCAGCGCACCCCCATCTGCATCCCCATCTCCTCTCCTGCATCCCCAGACCCTATTCTAGCTACCAGGATACCCCCATCTGCATCCCCATCTCCTCTCCTGCATCCCCGGCCCCTGTTCCGGGTACCAGCGCACCCCCATCTGCATCCCCATCTCTGCTCCTGCATCTCCAGACCCTATTCTAGGTACCAGGGTACCCCAATCTGCATCCCCATCTCTGCTCCTGCATCATTCCTGCATCCCTGGCCCCTGTTCCGGGTACCAGGGTACCCCCATCCCGCATCCCCATCTCCTCTCCTGCATCCCCAGACCCTATTCTAGCTACCAGGATACCCCCATCTGCATCCCCATCTCCTCTCCTGCATCCCCAGACCCTATTCTAGGTACCAGGGTACCCCCATCCCGCATCCCCATCTCCTCTCCTGCATCCCTGGTCCCTATTCTGGATACCAGGATACCCCCATCTGCATCCCCATCTCCTCTCCTGCATCCCCGGCCCCTATTCCGGGTACCAGCGCACCCCCATCCCTCATCCCCCTCTCCCCCCCTGCACCATTCCCGCACCCCCCTCCCCATCCCACCCCCTCCCCCCACCCCCCCACCCCCCCCTCACCGCCTCGTGCGCGCACTCCACGCTCCCGTTGCTGCAGCAGCGCCCAAAATCCCTCTCCAGGCGCCGGTGGAACCGGGCCAGGGGCCCGGGGGGCCCGGTGGGGCCGGGCCGCAGCCCCCGCAGCGCGCAGATGTTGCCCACGTTGGAGGCCGTGGGTTCCCCGGGGGGGAACGGGACCGGAACCGGGACCAGGACCGGGACCTCCGGGCTCCGCTCGGCCTCGGTCCCGGGAGCAGCGGCGGCGGCGGCGGCTTCGTGGCTGAAGCAGCGCCTCCGGTGCGCGCCCCGCAGGCGGCAGCAATGGAACGGCCGCGTCTTCACCGCGAACTCCGCCGAGCAGAACGCGTCCAGCACCGCGGCCCACTGCGGGGGGAGCGAGCGGTGAGGGTCAGGACCCCCCCCCCCCAACAACCACGGGTCCGGTACCGGGGATCCCCCCCAACCCCGTCCCGGTGCCTCCGGACCTCGCGGCGGGCGCAGGGCACGGGAGCATCGCGGTCGCAGCACGAATCCAGGCGGGTGCCGAAGGCTCCGAGCGCCGCCGCCTGGCGCCGGAGGTGCCCGAAGGAGCTCGGGGGCAGAGCGGGGACCGAGGAGAGCGGCGGCGGCGGCGGCGGGGACCGGTGCCGGCAGAGCCGGGTCACGGCGGCGGCTTCGGGCCACGGAGGGGGGAAACCGGGCACGGAGCGGGGCCCCCACGGGGCAGCGGTGGCGGAGGAGGAGGAGGCCGGGAGAGGCGGTGGGGCCGGGTCCTGCAGCACTGGGGAGGGGGGGGTGGTTATGGGGCAGGAGCGCCTGGAGCCCAGCCATGTCCCTGCATCCATGTCCCCATCCTAAGGGGTTCCCTGTATCCATGTCCCCATCCTAAGGGATTCCCTGTATCCATGGTCCCCATCCTAAGGGGTTCCCTGTATCCATGGTCCCCATCCTAAGGGATTCCCTGTATCCATGGTCCCCATCCTAAGGGGTTCCCTTTATCCATGTCCCCATCCTAAGGGGTTCCCTTTATCCATGTCCCCATCCTAAGGGGTTGCCCCCATCCATGGTCCCCATCCCAAGGTGTTGCCCCCATCCATGGTCCCCATCCTAAGGGGTTCCCTTTATCCATGTCCCCATCCTAAGGGATTCCCTTTATCCATGGTCCCCATCCTAAGGGGTTCCCTGTATCCAGGTCCCCATCCCAAGGTGCTGCCCCCCCCCCCCCATTATCCATGTCCCCCCATCCTAAGGGATTCCCTTTATCCAGGTCCCTATCCCAAGGTGCTGCCCCCCACCTCCATTATCCATGTCCCCCCATCCATGTCCCCATCCTAAGGGGTTCCCTGTATCCAGGTCCCCATCCCAAGGTGCTGCCCCCATCCATGGTCCCCATCCTAAGGTGCTGACCCCCCTCCCATTATCCATGTCCCCCCCATCCATGGTCCCCATCCTAATGGATTCCCTGTATCCAGGTCCCCATCCCAAGGTGCTGACCCCCCCCCCTTATCCATGTCCCCCCATCCTAAGGTGTTCCCTGTATCCATGTCCCTACCCCAAAGTGCTGCCCCCCCCTCCATTATCCATGTCCCTATCCCAATGTGTCCCGTGTCCCCCCCCATGGTCCCTATCCCAAGGGGGTCCCTTCATCCATGTCCCCATCCCAAGGTGTTGCCCCCCCTCCATCCATGTCCCCCCCCCATTCCCGTGTCCCATCCTCACGCTGTTGGATGGGGGGGAGCTGCAGCTCCAGGCTCTCCTGCACCACATCCTGGGGGGGCTCCGGCGCCACCACTGGCACTGGGGGGGGGACACAATGGGGGTCAATGGGGGTCAAGGGGGGGGACAATGGGGGTCAATGGGGGACACAATGGGGGTCAATGGGGGGGACAATGGGGGTCAAGGGGGGACAATGAGGGTCAATGGGGGGGACAATGGGGGTCAAGGGGGGGGACAATGGGGGTCAATGGGGGACACAATGGGGGTCAATGGGGGGCACAATGGGGGGGACAATGGGGGTCAATGGGGGGAACAATGAGGGTCAATGGGGGGGACAATGAGGGTCAATGGGGGGGACACAATGGGGGTCAATGGGGGGGACAATGAGGGTCAATGGGGGACACAATGGGGGACACAATGGGGGACAATGGGGGGGACAATGAGGGTCAATGGGGGAGGACAATGGGGGACACAATGGGGGGACAATGGGGGAGGACAATGGGGGTCAATGGGGGGGACAATGGGGGTCAATGGGGGGGACAATGGGGGGGACAATGAGGGTCAATGGGGGATGACAATGGGGGACACAATGGGGGTCAATGGGGGACACAATGGGGGTCAATGGGGGGACAATGGGGGGACAATGGGGGTCAAGGGGGGGACAATGGGGGGACAAGGGGGGTCAATGGGGGGACAATGGGGGTCAATGGGGGGGGACAATGGGGTACACAATGGGGGTCAAGGGGGGGACCCCCCCCCCTCTCCCCATCCCCATGGGGTTTGGGGCCCCGTGATGGGGAGGAGACCAAAGAGAGCCGGGGGACGGGGCCCGGATGTGGGGCAGGGACCCAGGGGCGTGACCCACACATCCGGGGTGGGGAGCCCGGCATCCAGGAAGGGGACCCAAACAGGGCCCAAGGAATTCGGGAAGTGGAACCGGGAGATGGGGAAGGGGACTCGGGAATTCCCTTGGGGAATGGGACCCAGTGGTTGGGATGGGATCCGGGCACCCCAATAGGGACCGGGGGCACCCAAATGGGGACCGGGGCACCCAAACGGGATTCAGGCACCCAAACGGGGACCGGGGCACCCAAAAAGGGACCGGGGCACCCAAACGGGATCCAGGCACCCAAACGGGATCCGGGCACCTAAATAGGGACCGGGGCACCCAAAAAGGGACCGGGGCACCCAAAAAGGGACCGGGGCACCCAAAAAGGGACCGGGGCACCCAAACGGGATCCAGGCACCCAAACGGGATCCGGGCACCTAAATAGGGACCGGGGCACCCAAAAAGGGACCGGGGCACCCAAACGGGATCCAGGCACCCAAACGGGATCCGGGCACCTAAATAGGGACCGGGGCACCCAAATGGGGACCAGGGCATCCAAACGGGATCTGGGCACCCAAACGGGAACCGGGGCACCCAAAAAGGGACCGGGGCACCCAAACGGGGACCAGGGCACCCAAATAGAGACCGGGGCACCCAAATGGGGACCAGGGCACCCAAATAGAGACCGGGGCACCCAAATGGGGACCAGGGCACCCAAATAGAGACCGGGGCACCCAAACGGGGACCAGGGCACCCAAATAGAGACCGGGGCACCCAAACGGGATCTGGGCACCCAAATTGGGATCCAGGTCTCAAGGAAAGGGACCCGGGGAGGAGACTCCAGGGTTCGGGAAGGGGCTTTGGGAAGCCGGGAAAGGGACCCGGAATTCCCAAAGGGAACCGGCTCGGGCCGGGACTCACCGGTAGCGCCGAGGAGGAGGAGTTGGAGGAGGCTGAAGGCAGCCATGGGGCGGGCGCTGTGGGGCTGGAGCCGGCTCGCAGCTTATGAAGGGCCGGGGCCTGAGTCACGGCCTTCCGTGGGGTGGGGCGGGATGTGGGGGGGGGAAACACGGACCCGGGGGGGGGGGGGCTGCGGCTGCTGCACCCCAAAACAACGCCACGATCGTGCCCCCCCTCCCCAACCCCAAACATGGCGGCTCCGGCCCCCCCATAGCGGCCCCTGTCCCCCCCATAGTGGTCCTGTCCCGGTCCCCCCCCCCCCCCATAGTGGCTTCTGCCCCCCCCCATAGCGAACCCTTCCCCCCCCTTCCCCCCCCCCCCAAAGCAAGGGGAAGCAGCCGCATTTTTGCGGTTTTTGCCCCATTTTGGGCCCTGCCCCACCCCGTGACTCAGCCCCGGGCAATGGGGGGGGGGGGGGGGGGGGAACCCCCATTGGAAGGACCCATTTCCCCTCCCCCCCCCCCCCCCCTTGAACCCCCAATGGAAGAGGTTGGGGGGGGGGGCAGCAGAGCCACCAGCGCCTCCCTTTAACCCCCATTATGGGGGTCAATGGGGGGGTCCCAGCCCCAAGCACGGGGGGGGGGGGGGGGGGGGCATTTCCCAACAGGCGGTTCCAGGTTTGCGCAACCCCCCCCCCGTGTCCCCCCCTTTGTGTCCCACCGGGAATCCGGTGGGAAAACCCCGGGAGGAAGAAGGGGGATGGGGGGGGAGGGGGGGGGGATGAGGATGGGGGGGGGACCCCCAAGAGGGTCCCTGGGGGGGCTTTAAGGGGGTTCAGGTCCCAAAGGGGGCGATGGGAGGGTCCTAAAGGGGGGGGGGGGGAATCAGGGGGGTCCTTAGGGAGGCCCCAAGGGGTGAAGGTGCCAAGAAGGGGATGTGGGGGGGGGGGGGTCCCTGGTACGTGTTCCCCCCCCCCCCTTATTCAGGTGGGAGTTGTAGTGGGAGAGCCCCCCCATAGCACGGAATGCGAGATGTGGGGCACGGTGGGGATGTGGGAGCCATAGGAAGGACTTGGGGGGCACGATGGGGACATGGGGGGCACACTCAGAGCTCCGGAACGCGCTCGCTTTGCCCCCTAAAACCCCATCCCATAGGGGACGAGCGGGCGGGCGGGCGCTAGGACCCGGGACTGCAACGACGTGCGGGGCGGGGCCATGCCCATATAAGGAGGTGGAGGGCGGGGCCATGACCATATTAGGGAAGGGTGGTGCCGCTGCCGGCTCGTCCGGTTGTGCCGCGGGCAGCGGGGCCGGTTTGGGGCCGGGCCGTGGGGAGCCGGAGCCATAGGGAGAGAGCCCCCATCCCTGCCCCACTGCGGGCAGGAGCCCCCATCCCTGCCCCATTGCGGGCAGGAGCCCCCATCCCTGCCCCACTGCGGGCAGGAGCCCCCATCCCTGCCCCACTGCAGGCAGGAGCCCCCATCCCTGCCCCATTGCGGGCAGGAGCCCCCATCCCTGCCCCATTGCAGGCAGCGGCCTCATCCCTGCCCCATTGCGGGCAGGAGCCCCCATCCCTGCCCCACTGCAGGCAGGAGCCCCCATCCCTGCCCCATTGCAGGCAGGAGCCCCCATCCCTGCCCCATTGCGGGCAGGAGCCCCCATCCCTGCCCCACTGCGGGCAGGAGCCTCATCCCTGACCCACTGCGGGCAGGAGCCCCCCATCCCTGCCCCATTGCAGGCAGCAGCCTCATCCCTGCCCCATCGTGGGTAGGAGCCCCCATCCCTGCCCCATTGCGGGCAGGAGCCCCCCCATCCCTGCCCCATCGCAGGCAGCGGCCTCATCCCTGCCCCATTGCGGGCAGGAGCCCCCATCCCTGCCCCATTGCAGGCAGGAGCCCCCCATCCCTGCCCCACTGCAGGCAGCGGCCTCATCCCTGCCCCATTGCAGGCAGGAGCCCCCATCCCTGCCCCACTGCGGGCAGGAGTCCCCATCCCTGCCCCATTGCGGGCAGGAGCCCCCATCCCTGCCCCATTGCAGGCAGGAGCCCCCCATCCCTGCCCCATTGCAGGCAGGAGCCCCCCATCCCTGCCCCATTGTGGGCAGGAGCTCCCATCCCTGCCCCACTGCGGGCAGGAGCCCCCCATCCCTGCCCCACTGCAGGCAGCGGCCTCATCCCAGCCCCATTGCAGGCAGCAGCCTCATCCCTGCCCTATCGTGGGTAGGAGCCCCCATCCCTGCCCCACTGCAGGCAGCGGCCTCATCCCAGCCCCATTGCAGGCAGCAGCCTCATCCCTGCCCTATCGCGGGTAGGAGCCCCCATCCCTGCCCCACTGCAGGCAGCAGCCTCATCCCTGCCCCATCGTGGGTAGGAGCCCCCATCCCTGCCCCACTGCAGGCAGCGGCCTCATCCCTGCCCCATTGCAGGCAGGAGCCCCCATCCCTGCCCCACTGCAGGCAGTGGCCTCATCCCTGCCCCATTGCAGGCAGTGGCCTCATCCCTGCCCCACTGCAGGCAGGAGCCCCCATTTCCCCCCTCCACGCCCTCCCCAGGGCCAGCAGCGCAAGCGCCGCCTTGAGCCCCACGTATCCCCTCCCGTCAGCCCCATTTCCTTCCTGCCCCATTGGCCCCATGGCCTGGAGCAGCAGCGGTGCCCTGGGGGCGGGGGGCCGGGACCGCATCCTGCGGGTGCTGGACGAGCTGCCGGCGCTGGAGCTGCGGCGCATGAAGGCGGCGCTGAACCGGGCACCGGTGGCCGGCGGGTACCGACCCATGGCCCGCGGCAGGATGGAGGCGGCCGACGCGCTCGATCTCACCGACCTCATCCTGGGTCACTATGGGGAGCGCTATGGGGTGACGGTGGTGGGGCAGGCGCTGAGGAGCATCGAGAGGAGGGACCTGGCCGAGTGGCTGCTGGGGGATGGGGGTGAGAGGGGTGGGGTGGGGTGGGATGGATGGGATGGGATGGGTTGGGTTGGGTGGGATGGGATGGGATGGGATGGATGGGTTGGGATGGGTTGGGTTGGGATGGTTGGGATGGGTTGGGATGGATGTGGTTGGTTGGGATGGATGGGATGGGATGGATGGGTTGGGATGGGATGGGTTGGGTTGGGTTGGGTTGGATGGGATGGGATGGATTCAGATGGATGGGTTGGGTCAGGATGGGTTGGGATGGATGCGGTCAGTTGGGATGGATGGGATGGGATGGATGGGTTGGGATGGGATGGGATGGGTTGGGATGGATGGGTTGGGTTGGGATGGTTGGGATGGGTTGTGATGGATGGGATGGGATGGATGGGATGGGTTGGGTTGGGTGGGATGGGATGGGTTGGGTTGGGATGGGATGGATTCAGATGGATGGGTTGGGTCAGGATGGGTTGGGATGGATGCGGTCGGTTGGGATGGTTGGGATGGGATGGATGGGATGGGATGGGTTGGGTTGGGATGGATGGGTTGGGTTGGGATGGTTGGGATGGGTTGTGATGGATGGGATGGGATGGGATGGATGGGATGGGATGGGTTGGGTTGGGATGGGATGGGATGGGTTGGGTCAGCATGGGTTGGGATGGATGTGTTGCGATGGGATGCATGGGATGGGTCGGCATGGGATGGGTTGGGTTGGGTTGGGATGGGATGTGGTTGACTTGGGAAGGGTTAGGATTGGATGGGAAGCATAGCGCAAATGGTTGGGATGGGTTGGGAAGGGATGAGATGGGAAGAGCAGTGCAGATGGTTGGGTTGGGAAGGGATAGGATGGGTTGGAATGGGATAGATATGTTGGGGTGGGATGGGTTGGGATGGATGGGATGGGTTGGGTTGGGATGGGATGGATGGGATGGGATGCGTTGTGTTGGGATGGGATGCGTTGGGATGTGTTGTGTTTGGATGGGATGTGTTGGGATGGGATGCGTTGGGATGGGTTGGGATGCGTTGCGATGTGTTGGGTTGGGATGCGTTGTGTTGGGATGGGATGCGTTGGGTTGGGATGGGACGCGTTGGGATGGGATGCGTTGTGTTGGGATGCACTGGGATGCATTGGGATGGGATGCGTTGCGTTGGTATGGGATGCGTTGCGATGTGTTGGGATGGGATGCGTTGTGTTGGGATGGGATGCGTTGGGTTGGGATGGGATGCGTTGGGATGGGATGCGTTGTGTTGGGATGGGTTGGGATGCGTTGCGATGTGTTGGGATGTGTTGGGATGGGATGCGTTGTGTTGGGATGGATTGGGATGCATTGGGATGGGATGCGTTGTGTTGGGATGCGTTGCGTTGGGATGGGATGCGTTGGGATGGGTTGTGTTGGGATGGGATGGGTTGGGATGGGATGGGATGCGTTGGGATTGATTCGGATGGGTTGTGTTGGGATGGGATGGGATGCGTTGGGATGGGATGGGTTGGGATGGGATGGGATGCATTGGGATTGGTTGGGTTGGGCTGGGATGCGTTGGGATGGGATGGGATGCATTGGGATTGGTTGGGATGGGATGGGTTGGGACGGGATGCATTGGGATGGGATTGGTTGGGATGGGATGGGATGCGTTGGGATTGGTTGGGATGGGATGCGTTGGGATTGGTTGGGATGGGATGTGTTGGGATTGGTTGGGATGGGATGGATGCGTTGGGATGGGATGCGTTGGGATTGATTGGGATGGGATGCGTTGGGATTGGTTGGGATGGGATGCGTTGGGATTGATTGGGATGGGTTGTGTTGGGATGGGATGGGTTGGGATGGGATGCGTTGTGTTGGGATGCGTTGTGTTGGGATGCGTTCGTTGGGATGAGTTGGGATGCGCTGTGTCGGGAAGCACCACCCCAAGTATCCAAGTTCCGCCCCCCCAACCCCTTCTCCCCCTTTCCCCCTTCTCAGCCCCTCCCCGCCCCACCGATGACGTCCCCGATGACGCCGCCGATGACGCCACAGCCGAGGCCGGCCGCCGGTTCGTGCAGCGGCACCGCGCGGCGCTGGTGCAGGGGGTGCGGGCGGCGGCGGCGCTCGCGGACCGGCTCCAGGCTCGGGGCGCGCTCAGCGCCGAGGCCGCGGCCGCCGTGGCCGCCGGGGCCACCCCGCAGGAGCGGATGCGGCGGCTCCTGGACACGGCCCCGGGCTGGGGGCCCCGCGGCCACCGCTGCTTCCTGCGGGCGCTGCGGGAGCTCCAGCCCTGCCTCGCCGAGGAGCTGGGGGAGCCCTGAGCCGTTGGGTGCCCCCATCCCTATGGGAACCATTGGGTGGCTCCATCCCTATGGGAACCATTGGGTGCCCCCATCCCTATGGGACCCCGTTGGGTGGCTCCATCCCTATGGGAACCATTGGGTGGCTCCATCCCTATGGGAACCATTGGGTGCCTCCATCCCCATAGGACCCATTGGATAACCCCACCCCTATAGCACCCACTGGGTGCCCCCATCCCTATGGGAACCATTGGGTGGCTCCATCCCTATGGGACCCGTTGGGTACCCCCATCCCCATAGGACCCCTTGGATAACCCCACCCCTATAGCACCCACTGGGTATCCCCATCCCTATAGGAACCATTGGGTGGCTCCATCCCTATGGGAACCATTGGGTGCCCCCATCCCTATGGGAACCATTGGGTGCCTCCATCCCCATAGGACCCATTGGATAACCCCACCCCTATAGCACCCATTGGGTATCCCCATCCCTATAGGAACCATTGGGTGCCTCCATCCCTATGGGAACCATTGGGTATCCCCATCCCTATGGGAACCATTGGGTGGCTCCATCCCCATAGGACCCATTGGATAACCCCACCCCTATAGCACCCATTGGGTATCCCCATCCCTATAGGAACCATTGGATAACCCCATCCCTACAGGACCCCTTGGGTACCCCCACCCCTATAGAACCCCTTGGGTACCCCCATCCCCACTGAACCCCTTGGGTGCCCCCGTCCCCATAGGACCCCTTGGTTACCCCCATCCCAATGGGACCCCCTGGGTGCCTCCAGCCCTATAGGATCCCCTGGATAACCCCATCCCTATAGGACAACTTGGGTACCCCCCACCCCTATAGAACCCCTTGGGTGCCCCCCAGCCCACTGAACCCCTTGGGTGA